TGGATCTTTGTTTGACCATCTTAATAGATGCTTTGAAAAACTGATTTCAATCATAACAGAAGGTTTACAGAAGCAAGATTTTATTGGCATAAAGATATCAATACCAAGTTTGGAAAACACCAAACCTATCGGACTAAGTTTTAGAAACATCCAGCAACTAGACTCAAATTCCATTTTGGATTTGTTTTCATCAGTTTCGCAGTCAAATACAAACTTTATGCTGACCGATTTATTGGAAATAATTGTGACAATTGTTAAAATACCCTCAGGTAAGGGACGTGTTAAAATGACTTTTTTATCAGACGCGGAGATTTTAAAAAAAAAGCCCAAAGTATTATTGATAAAGGTGAAACAACAGATAATACTTGTTTGCCAAGATCTATATGGATTGGTAAGATTTTCGCTGATAAGGTTAACGATTCAATAAAAAAAAAATATTTAAGAAAGAATTCTAAAATTTTAAATTTGAAAGTAAAAATGTTATGCAACAAAGTCAAAATAAATGTTAATAAAAAAAGTGGGTACAATTCAGGGGATATTTTTAAACTTCAGAAATATTTGACAAATTACAATATCTTTTTGTATAAAAATAGACAAAATTGTAACGAAAAAATCGTTTTTCGGGATACAAACATAAAAAGAATAAATTTATTTTATTTAGAAAAAATGAAACATTTTATAACCATAAAAAATGTTTGCAAGTTTTTCAATAAAAATAAAGAATGTGAATTTTGTTTTGAATTGTATGACAATAGACACATATGTTCATTGAAATGCAAGTATTGTTTAATAAACCCTCCGTGTGGTTTTATAAATGATAACTTTATAAAATGTTTGGAGTGTAATCGTGGTTTTAGAGGCCAAATATGCTTCGATAACCATAAAAAAATAAATTCCTACAAGAATTTTACTGTATATTCACAAATACAGATTTGTCAAAAATGTTTTAAATTTTCGATTTACAAAAACGCGAGCATATCTGTAATGAAAAGTATTGTGCAACATGTGGAAAATTTGTTGATCAAAATCATTTGTGTTATATTAAAAAGTATAAAAAAAATCCTCCTAAAACTTTTTCAATTGTATTTTTTGATTTAGAATGTACTCAAGACAAAACAATTAAATCAGCATCTTTACATGAACATAATTTATGTGTAGCTCAGTTTGTTTGTAATTTATGTTATAAGAACGATGGTAATTTCGAATGTACTAAATGTAAAAAACGGACACATATTTTTGAAAACTGTGTTGAAGAAAATTGTGTAACAAAATTTGTAAACTTTCTGTTAAAAATTACTGCCGACCAAACATTAAAAATTTGTTGTATAGCACACAATTTTAAAAGTTATGATGGTCAATTTGGGGTGCAAGGATTGAGGACGCGAATACATAGCCTATCCCAATCAAATGGCAACCTCACCTGCCCGTGGTGCTCCCTGCTTTTACGAACGAGGCTCTGCCGACCCAGTATCTGGGGGTATATCCAGATCACCCTCTTCTAAGGGGTTATAATACTTAGAACTGGTCCTCCTGGTAGGGGGTTGGGCGCAATGCTTACAACTTTGCCTCGTAAAAAACAACCTGTAATGAACCTGCAAACAAGGCCTCGGAACGATAATAGGATTTTACGGTACAGACCAACGCATTCACTCACGGATATTGATTTGAAAATTTCGACATGGAATATTCTGACAATGTTGCAGCCTGGTAAAATGGCTGAAATAGCTGCACAACTACTAAAGTACAAAATAAATGTAGCTGGACTACAAGAAATAAGATTCTCCGGGCAAGGAGAAATAAAGAAAAAAGATTACTCTTTATTCTATAGTGGAGCAAAGAGGCCCGGTCAGTTTGGTACTGGCTTTTTCATTGACAAAAACACAAGAAACTCTATATTAGAATTTGAAGCAGTAAATGATAAAATATGTTACATGCGTCTAAAGGGAAAATTTCAAAATATGTCCTTTATGGCAGTGCACGCTCCCACTGAAGATGCTGAAGAACAAATAAAGGATGAATTTTACGGCACACTGGGGAATTTCTGTAACAGAATCAGTCGTCATGACATTATCATTCTTTTAGGTGATTTTAACGCCAAGATAGGCCAAGAAAGCTTCACCTCCGATGTGTGTGGAAGGTACTCCCTACACGATGCCACAAATGAAAATGGTATGGGAATTTGTAATTTCGCAGCAAGCATGGGTTTGTGGATCAGCAGTGTATCTTTTCCCCACAAAAATATTCACAAGCAAACATGGAAAATTCCCGGATCTACAAATGCAAACCAAATTGATCATGTATTAATTGACAAACGACACGCAACATCAATAATTGACGTAAGATCATTTAGAGGTGCAAATTGTGATTCTGATCACTTTTTGGTCGTTGCCAAACTGAGACAGAGAATTTCAAAAGTAATAAACAAGAACGCTTTTAGAAGAACCATCTGGGACACTGGAAAAATAGTAGAAAACTTAGAACTAAGAGCGAGCTATCAGAGCTCTATGGCAACAAAACTGAACAGCTGGCAATACAGTGATGATGAACCTGTCTCCGAAAACTGGTCGAAACTAAAAAATGCCGTAACTGAAACCGCAGAACGAATAATAGGCAAAAAAATTACAAGTAATAACGATTGGTATGACCAAGAATGTGCAATAGTCAATGAAATCAAGAACCAAGCGCGTACTAAATACCTTGAAAGGCCTACCCGAAGTAATCTCTTACGCTATCACGAAAAAAGAAAAAATGCTAAGCAAATTCTAAAGCGTAAAAAAAAAACGAAATTGAGACAGCAAATAGAACAAATTGAAAACGACTTTAATCAAAATAAAACGAGAAACATGTACCAAAACATAAGAAAACAAATAAAAACATTCAAGCCCAGGACAAACGTCTGCAAAGATAAAAACGGTGCAAGAATAAGGGAAAAGGACAAAATATTGGGGCGATGGAAAGAGCATTTTAACGAAGTGTTAAACAATAATAATCTAGATCCAAACGTAGGAAATGATAGCACCGAATTGATATATTACACCGTTGAAAACGAGATTCATCCTCCCACTATATATGAAGTTGAGGAGGCTCTCAATAGGCTAAAGAACAATAAATCCAGTGGCGAGGACTCTATTGTGGCCGAATTATTAAAATATAGTGGTGTTGAACTGTGCAACAAAATGCATGCCTTGGTCGTTCAAATCTGGCGGAGCGAAATTCTACCCAAAGAATGGCTGACGAGTATAGTTGTTCCCATACACAAAAAGGGCGATAAAACAATATGCGACAACTACAGGGGTATATCGCTTCTAAATGTTGGCTATAAAGTATTTACGAACATACTCTACAAAAAAATGAGCGCTCTCGCAGAAGAAATCATAGGGGATTACCAAAGTGGTTTTAGAAAGAATAGATCCACGACGGACCAATGTTTTATACTAAATCAAATTTTCGAAAAATTTTATGAATTCTCTGTTGATATACACTGTCTTTTTATTGACTTTAAGCAAGCTTTTGATTCCGTGTATAGAGAAAGGATATACCAGATACTACAGAAAAGCGGTATTCCTAAAAAACTGGTTGATTTAGTTAGATGTACCCTAACCGGAACATTGGCGAAGGTACTTATCCAAGGAAGTTGCACTGAGCCCTTCACTGTTGCATCGGGGGTAAAACAAGGGGATACGTTATCTACTTTAATATTTAACTTGGTTTTGCACGAAATTATAAAAGATATAGATCCTGGAGGTTCAATTTTTAATAAAAGTACACAGGTTTTGGCATATGCAGACGACGTTGTAATAATAAGTACAAGATTAGATGAACTAAAAAACAGTTTCGAAATATTAGAGAGGCAAGGAAAAAATATTGGACTAAATATTAACCCAGAGAAAACTAAATATATGCTGCGAACAAAATCAACCAGACAAGGTCAAGATTTAATTTTGGGAAATCAGCGCTTTGAAGCTGTAAAAGAATTTAAATATTTGGGAATGATTTTTAGTAACCAAAAAGACGTTACTGTAGCAGTTCAAGAACGAATTCAAGCTGCAAACAGAGCCTTTTTTGCCCATACAAAACTTTTCAGATCCAGGCTTCTAACGCAAAGCTTAAAATTGAGAATGTACAAAACACTTATAAGACCAATTCTCACATATAATTGCGAAGTGTGGACTCTGAAATCCACAGACACAAATATGATTGCCTCCTTTGAACGTAAGATATTAAGAAAGATTTTTGGCCCAATAAGGATGGAAGATGGAACCTATAGAATTAGATATAATGATGAGCTAGATAGTTTAATTGATGGCCAAAATGTAATACGTTTCATAAAATCAAAAAGAATACAATGGTTAGGACACGTTGTTCGCATGCCAGAAGAGAGAGCCGTGAAAAAAGCTTTTAGTCGTATACCCCAAGGAAACAGAGGGCGCGGGCGCCCACGTAAAAGATGGCTAGAAGCAGTAGAAAAAGATTTACGCGAAATGCAAGTTAACAATTACACACAAATAGCGAAACAAAGAGATCGTTGGAAGGCAATAGTTGCAGAGGCTTTGGTCCACCCAGGACTGTGACGCCGAGAAGAAGAAGATGGTCAATTTATTATAAGTGAACTTTTACAGCGTAACAAACCTTTGGTACCAATTATGGGAGGGAATAAAATTTTAAAAATAACATTTAATTACAATATTTTTTTTATAGATTCTCTTAATTTTTTACCAATGCCTTTGGCTAAATTTACTTCTGCATTTGGTCTTCATCAGAATGATGTTAAAGGGTATTATCCCTATTTATTTAATACAAAAGCAAACTATAACTATATTGGAGAAATTCCAAGCATTAAAATGTTTTCTTTAAATAACTTTAACTCACACGAGTTAGAAAAATTTTCTTTATGGTATAATAATCTAAAAAAATCAAATTATATTTATAACAATAGAGAAGAATTAATAAAATATTGCATTCAAGACGTAAACTTATTGCGTCAGGGATGTTTAAGATTTATGGATAATTATCTTCAATTGTTGAATGTTAATCCTTTTTTTGAAACCTTTACCTTAGCACAAGCTTGTTTAACTACATACCGTAAACATTTTTTAAAAGAAAAAACCTTAGGTATAGTTCCAATTAACAATTATCGTAAAAAGAATAATCAATCTTGCATTGGATTAATGTGGCTTGAATTTAAAAACCAGGCCAGCTGTGGTAAAATTCAATATGAATATGTTTTACCAGACTGTGGATTACAAGTAGACGGTTTTAATCAAGATACTAACACTGTTTATGAATTTTTAGGATGCTTTTATCATGGGTGCGAAGACTGTTTTTTCAACAGGGACTTCGTTGTTTATGGATTTAAAATGCAAACTAAGTTTGAAAATACTATGTACAAAATAAATTTTTTAAAACAAAAAGGATATGTTGTATGTTATGAGTGGGAATGTAAATTTAAAGATTTATTAAAAAATAATCGAAAAATAGAAAATGATATAAAAAATACTCCATTAGTTATATTTACCCCGATTAATGCTCGAGATGCTATTTTTGGAGGTCGTACTGAAGTATTTAAATTATATTATAAAATCAAAGCAAATGAAAAAATTTGCTATTACGACTTTACTTCTCTTTATCCATATGTGAATAAAACTTGTAAATACCCAATAGGTCATCCAAAAATTTATAATTTTCACGAATGTAATCAATTCAAAAATGATATTAGTAAAATAGATGGTTTATTTAAATGTTCTGTTTTACCACCACAAAATTTATGGCTTCCAATACTACCAATTCGCGCTAATAACAAAATGTTAATGGTTTTATGCCGCACATGCGCGGAAAGGGAAAATGTTGTATCCAAATGTACTCACAATGATACAGAGAGGATGCTTTTTGGCACTTGGACAGATATGGAATTAAAATTAAGTGTGAAATATGGATACAAAATAGTAGAAATACATGAATTTTGGCATTATGATTGTGAAACTTATGATCCGATATATAAAACAGGTGGACTTTTTACTGACTACATGAACTATTTCATAAAATACAAGACTGAAGGTTCGGGTTATCCAACTGGTATACAAACTGAATCTGAACAAGATGCATATATAAAAAATTTTTTTGATAAAGAAGGCATAATGTTAGATCAATCCAAAATTTCTCTAAATCCTTCACTACGAAATCTGGCAAAACTAAAGTTGAATTCATTTTGGGGAAAATTAATACAACGAAATGATCGTCATATAACGACTGTTGTACAAAACATAACACAATTTCATAACTTGATTCATTCAAATGGTGTGTCAATAATGGATATATTAGTTGCAAGCAAGCATCAGATTTGGATTAGTTGGAAATACAATTTTCCTGAAATGAATCCTGTTCTTAAAAATCAATCTTTAATAATTGGAGCTTTTACTACGGCGCATGCTAGATGTCTACTTTATAATGAAATTAGCAAAATTGGTAAAAATCTTTTGTATTGCGATACGGATTCTATGATTTTTGTTCAGCAAACTGAGAATGAATATGATTTAAAGATAGGTAAAATTTTGTAGATATATATATTTTTTCGTATAATTTTGTATAATTACAAAAAATTATTTGCTTTATAGGTACTTTAATTGGAGATTTAACTAACGAACTTGCATCATATGGAAAAAATGTTTACGGTACAGAATTTGTATCAACAGGTCCCAAAAGTTATTCGTATCGTTACTATAATCCTGATACAGATAAGTTTGGAGAAGTTGTTAAGTGTAAAGGAATAACAAGCACTAAAAGTGAAACATCTTTGAATTTTGAACACATGAAGGAAATTGTTACCGACCCTTTTGGATGCAGTAATTTGTATTTCACAACAGTTAATAAAATTAAACGCCAAAAGCATTTTCAAGTAACATCAGAAGATGAAAAAAAAAATTTGGATTTACATTTACAAAACGAGTGTGTCGTAGCAACTTTGAAACAATTCCTTACGGATTTTTAAGTACTTGGTAAGAATTAAATTCTGTATAAATTGGTAAGTTGTTCTTAATAAAAATTCATTTTAATTTCAAATGTCCACAAGAAATATGGAAAAAAAATATTTAATAGCTGACTTACAATTCATTGTTGGAAGCAACAATCAATATTATCTAAAGGAAATGGCGATTAACCACAACAAATCAGTTATTACTACCGCGTATTACTTTAGACCTCCTTATCCATATGAAGAACTTTCTGTTGCAGCACAAAAACAAAACAGTTGCAACAGAGATAACATAAACGGTTTGAGTTGGAGTGATGGTCTAATTGATTACAACTGTATCCCTACTATCATTGAAAGTTTTTCGATTTACAACAGAATTTATGTAAAAGGACTTGAAAAGAAAACATTTTTGGAAAAATATTTGCCGAACCAGATAATTAATTTGGAAAATAATATACCAGCTTTAAATAAACTAACAAATTATGAATCATTTTGTCAAATCCATTTAAATTCAAATAGTCATAATAAACGTTGTGCTGTAAAAAATTGTATTAACATACTCATGCATTTATTAAAACAAAGTAAAATTTGATTTAAAAAAAAGAATATGTTTTATTTACATGTTATATTAACGTTACATATTTCAGAGTCATTAGTTAAATTAAAATCATACAAGTAGCAAAATATTTGTTCTGCCATAAACATAGGTACTTCGTAGAATAATCTGCTATAATTACATTGGTTAGGTGAAAACTGCATTGGAATGTAAAAGTCGTCCTGAGATAACTTGGTTACACCCTTTTCTTTGCATTTTACAAAGTATTTGTGAATATATGTCGCAACATTATCACTAGCATTGTTATTATAGGACATTATGGCTTGTATGTAATCCAACATTTCATTCAATTTCCAATATTCTTCTTGTTCAATATTAAAGATTTTTTTGTCTTCTTGATTGAACTCCAAGATGCTGCAAACTGGTTGATCTTCGTTCATTATTCGAGCTGACTCCATATTCTTGGCTTGCTTGTAAAATGAGTGCCATTCGTTATAAAAAACTTAAACTGGTTTCTTACTATTCCGATGAAAAACTATTTTTGACTGAAAAGTGTTGCAATCAAAACCTATTACTACTTTGCACGTTTGTTTTGTATTCAAAAAATATGTGTAAGAGAGTAGTAAATTTTCCATTTTAGATGATCCTTTTTTAGATATTTTTGCTAGCTTCTTGGAAGTTGTTGCTTTTTTTTTAGAAGACGTTTTAAGTCAGGTATCTCAAAACTGAATAAATCGTTTAAAATATGCGGACTGTGGTATTTATACTTTTTTTTCAAAAACTATTACTGTGAAATCGGTTTTCTACATATTTGTAACGTGTTGTTTATATGTGGCGTATACCTGAATATTTTCTTAAACAATTTCATAACAGTTTTGTCATTGACATTTTGATTGTTACGGTTAAAAATATCCAGGAACCTTGACATGCTATAACCTTTACATCTGTACCATAAATATACGCAGCAATATTGACCACAAATTTCTGAATAGTCCCCTTGCAATCGTTTGTAATTGCAGACAGTGTAAGAACTTTTTAGAACTTTTTTTAAGAAATTGTGAAGCTCTTTTTGAACAGGTGCTTGTCCATACGAATCAAAATATTCAATAAATCCATTTAAAGGTACAAAAATGCATATCCAATGTTTACCTGGTTTAGTATGAACATCAGTATTTACCACTACAAATCCAGGTTTTTCAAAATGCTTAGGAAGCTTGTCTAGGGGAAAAATTTTTGTGTTTGCTGATTACACGACAATACATGTTTAATTTCTAAAGTGTTCATTGTACTGATTAATCGGCTGATTCAAAAGAAATAATATCATAAATCTTAGTATTCTCTTTTAAATAATGTTTTAAAAATTGCATGCTGGAACGACCATTTGTTATAATAACATCAAATTTTTCCATAAATCCGCGAAGCTCTTTGTTTTCTTGCTCATTAAATACATTGCCGAATTTATAGTTTTTTGTGGTATTTGGCATAATTTCTTTTGTAGGAAATTTGTAGTTTGTTTCCTTGGTGATTATTTTGGAATTTCCTCTTATTCCAACACATGTAACATTCTTAACAAATATATAATCGGTATTATCAGAACAAAACGTCAAATCGACAATTGCACAAGTTTTTTTAGACATGTTTGTTGTGTAGTGTACAACACTTGATTAATTTTAAGTTTGTAAAAATTGTTCTATTTATACATTTGTGTAGACATTGCAATTTTTGTCTATTTGAACGTTGGAATCAAATTCTCCATAAATAAGTGCTGTTAATGTAGATGGAGTTGGTTTTGATAATCTTGCTTCGATTCTTATAGTTCCTTGATTAAGTAAACCTTGGCAAATTTCAATACCCGATGCATCTGGTGTTAAATCAAAAGCCAATAAAAAGAAACCATTTGCAAACATAGATTTTGTTATTTGATGTCCTCTATCGTTATGATAAATTCCTGTTCCAGAGAATAACGTATGATAAGCTCTTGTATTGCAATTATTATCATCAGAAAAACTTGTTTCTATGGCAGCGTTTGGTACTTGCACACTATTAACATAGAGCATGAATTGTGAAATATCAAAATGCTTAAAATTGTATGGATTTTTTTATCGTTTTCCCGAATACCCTGCATTTTCAGTCATGCAAAAAATAATCGTGTTTGGTAATTGGCCAATAAAAACATTATCTAGCGAAATTGACGAACTATTACTGGGGATAGTAAAATTTTTCACTTTCACTCTTTTATAATGATATTTAGCATTTGATTTTTCTAGAACGGCATTGTGAGCTAACAATACACTAGGATTTATTGTTACGTGCCGCATAAATAATTTAGCCTCTACAATTTTAAATTGTGATTCATCAGAGTCATCCGCAAATAGAAAGAAATCTGGTTTTTCTAATGTAAAAAGAATTCGAATATCCACATTATTTATTAAATGAGTGGGTTGATTAAACATATCCACATGAAGTTTTCCCATAAGCTCAACAACGTTACTATTATGATATAGTTTTTGACGTTCCTTTGAACCATTATTATCAGATCTAGCTATATTCGGCTTATCTAAAATCCATCCAGCACATTCTAAATGAGTAGTTGCAGCATCAGTTCCATAATTTAATAGAGATTCAATATAAGCTCTATAATGGTAATTTCCATCTGATGGAGTAATATTTTTACCATTAAGTTGTACGTTACATTGCTTAATCAGAGAATGCAAAATATTATTAACCACACTCGGTTGTTGAATTGTTTTCTGGAATTGAATTGTTGAATTAGGAACGAAACAAATTCTATTATTGAAGGGTTATCCAGAGAAGCAATGGGATTGTATGACACCTCCTCAGATTTTAAAATATTGGTTTGTATTGGCGGAGTTGCAAATAAATCTAACTCTGATTTCATGCATTCATTCATTTTTTTCTTGTTTTTTTAATTAAAAATATCTGTTTGGTGAATTTTTCTGCGTTTGCTCTTGGCTTTACGTTTCTTTTTATTTGAATGAGTTAATCTCGTTGCATGAGTTCTTTTTATAGTCCTTCTTTTTATACCTCTTCCATACATTTCATTCAATTTGTTTACAGCTCGGCGTCTTAAATTTTTTAGTGCTTGTTTACCTCTATCTTGTAATACTTCTTTTGGATTTGCTCCAGCAGCAATATCAGATAAAGCATTAATTCCAGTATCTAAAGTCTCTTGTTTTACCAAATTTAAGCCAGATGATATGAGTGGTTTTAAATATTTAAACAACCCTCCAAAAAAACTTCCAAGTCCACGACCTCTTTGATATTGCACACTAGACTGCACTAACGGGCCAATATCATCAATACCTCTACCTGCTTGAATTAAATAATACTTGTAATACGAACGATTCATCGTATAAGAATAAACCACATGAACCTGCCCACTTATTTATATCTTTTGAAATGCAATACAATTTTTGTAGGTATGTTACTTCTGGAGAAATTTATATTATATCCAAATTTATCGCAAATTAAAACTGAAATACTATCAAAGTTATCTTTGTCTATACTGCAATATTGAACTTTTTCAAATTGTATTATTGTATCCGCAAAGGGATTGATTGTGTTTATAGTTTTCATACATCTTGTCATTGTATCGCCGATATATTGCGGTTCTATTATATCGGTATAAACAAACAGCATATCAGTTTTTGTTTCCGGAGACGTCAACAACGTATTTGCTATTATATGATAAACCTCAATAATTTTAGTTTTATATTTTTTAAGTTCTTTTTGTAAAACGAGTGCTTGTTGAAAACATGTTTTTAATAAAAAGTTTACTGTATACCCAGTACCAGCCAGTATTCGTATTTCGACCACAGGTCTTTCACTGCATAGTTTTATGTACTCTGTATGAGTGGTATCTATTTTAAATTTGTTATCCAAAACATAGTTAACATCATTTGAAATAAAATTGTAGATTTCCCATATCAATTGTTGCTCCACTTGCTTTCTGGTGTATCCTGGATTTGGAGAAATATTTTGAAACAGCGTGGGTAATAAAAGCGTTTTCCAGTCACATCGTAGTTCATTTTTATTATAAGGAATATAGGTTTTTCCAATACCGATGGAATTTTTTTCTGCTGTTCCAATAAATATTACAGCAGCTTTTTCGTAAACTTCTCCAAATGTATTTGGAATAAAATTGTTCAAAAAAATTTCAGAAATTCCCACTTTCCAATTACTCTTGTTTAACTCAAAATGCTTTGGGAATTTATTTGTAAATTTTGATAAAGCACTTTCTGGAAAATATTTTATTGAGGCATCACTTAATAAAGTTATATAAAAATCCTCTTCCTGATTTATTTGAATCGTGTCCATGGTTGGGTTGATGAACCAGAATCAGATTTTACTTTTGTCTTCTTACGTACAGGAAAATTCAGTTTTAGCTGTTTATCGTCTGCTTTTGTAGATGATCGAAGTACTCGTTTTGAAGGTTTTTTAGGGCTTTCAATAGGAACACTTATAATATCTCCTGAATCAGTTTCAAACATGCGCACATTTGGTGTATGAATAGATTTGCGTGGCTTTAAACGTGCACCTTCCGAAGCTACTGATAGTGCTCTATCTCGGTGAAATGATTCGTCTTTCATAGTATCGTCAAAGACATCATCCTCGTCTAAACTCCAATTTTCAATTGGTTCAAATTTAAAAAGCTCCTCTTCAGGTAAAAATGTAGTTTGTAAACCAATATTTTTTTGGTATATATCATCTGTTTGAACACTAGTATTTTTTGTGCCGGTTTTACGCGTGTTTGCGTGCCTTTAGACTCTAATAATATTGGCTTATTTAATGAGTTAACAGGCGTCTTTGACATTCCTTGGCGTTTTTTGTTACTAAATTTCATCAAGTTTTGACGATATAAATACCATTTCTGATTATCATTTAACTTTTTGTTAAATAGAATAGCTTTTATATTTCTATCAATATCCGAAAGTTCATTATCGTTTATGATATTTTCTTTTAGTTTATTGTATAAGTCTGGTTGAATAACAATCATCCGTTGCAATGTGTTGTTCATTTTGTATATTTTGAAATTAGTTTTCCTAGTAAACCCGATAGAACTGTACCGATTAACATTGGTAAAAAACCACCTTTTTGTATAATGAATTTACGTTTAGCGTTTATAGATTTTTTTGGGCAAGCTAAATATCGAAGTTGACTTTTATATTTTCTTATTCCCAATAATTTGTTTTTGGAAAGTTTTGTATTTCCATTAAGAATGTTCAATGAAATTTCACACAAAGTTTTTATCACCTCAGAGTCACAATTCTTTATTAAAATATTTCGAAATTTTGTTTTAGATTTTTTTAACGTATGCAGTATATGCTGGTTTGCTATCAAACGTTTCAAATTTCTCACATAACTTTTTATTTTTTAATTGATCTAGTGTGCAAAAGCACACACAACTTTTTATTTTATTATCATATATATCAGTTCTGAATTGAAATAAATCGTTTATACCTTGCGTCAGGTCTAAAATAATATAGCTATATGGCTTCGACGTCGTCTCATTATATAGCTTTTGAAATTCTTTAATGTTTTCTGGTACTATTTGTCGTGCCAAAGGTAAAATTTGCGATTTATCTCGTGGATTTTTAAATAGAACCAAGTACTTTGCATTTAACGATATATCTCTGCAGAATTTTCCTTGATGAAAAACATTTTGTGATACAAGCATGATTGATAGGTTGCGATGATGAGATCCTTTAGTAAAAAGTTCGCAAACTTTTTTACTGTAAGCATCAATCATTAAATCATCCAAAATAATCATTGTTGCAATATTGCTATCATTATTTAAATTTTCTGGAATTTCATTAAAATATTCAATTTGGGTAAAATTTAGGTTTTTCGGCATTGCGTTGTTTTCTTACATCACATAATATGTTCTATTTCAGGCTGAATTAATTTATTCATTTGATTGATCAAATTACAAATAAATGTTGTTTTGCCTGAGCCAGACGGCCCAGCTATTATCATTGTAAACGGGTGATGGAATTGAATCATGTTTTAAACACAAACTTTTTGCAGCTCTTGATAATAAAATCTTCCGCTTATTTCTTTACCCTTCAAATCGTGCAGTACAAATAACGGATAAGGTTCTCTATTTATAATTTTATTTACTATAAAAATTTCTTTCGTCCATTTTTCTGTCATGTTCAAAAGTTGCTTTTTTTCTACGTACTCGTACTAAATCTCCGACAAAAATGTCAACAAATAATTTAGGGTCTTTTTGAAAACGTTTTTTAAAATTGTTGTAAATTTCTTTAGTATGTTTTAATTCAACTTCTGCAGGACGAAATTTTGTGGTACTGTGTACAGAAATATTGTAACTTTTAACGAGTTGCGGTAAAATGTCTATGTATCTTTTACTAGAACTTTCTGTAAAGAACCTGAACATCTTTTCTTTTAACGTTCTATTGAATCGTTCAACCACAGCCGCTTTATTTGTTGATGCTATTATTGGAAATCTTTGTTTGATATTATTATGTTGTAAAAAACTTTTAAATATTATATTTTTGAATTCTCTACCTTCATCTGATTGAACTGTTTCTGGTTTTCGTTGACTTTTTAATATAATTTTACTAAAGGCTTTTGTAACTTCAGATCCTGTTTTTTGTTTTAAAGGTACTACCCAAGCAAATTTCGAAAAAACATCAATTGCTGTTAACAAAAATGTGTAACCATCATTATATTTTTTAAACATTTTTAAATCACAAAGATCTATTTCCCACAACTGATCAATTTTTTGAACTAGGTAATGATTTCTTGGAAACTTTGTTTTTACCGGGTGATGTAACGTATAAGTTGGTTGACTCCTCAACCCAGCTTGAATTTTTTTCAGAGATATTTTATCATGTTTTAAAGCCTTGTGAAGTTTACTAATTGAACCATAAAGGTTTTCTGTATCTTTATCATAATATGTTTTAAGTATTTTAGAATTGACATTACCCATATTAAAAGCAACTTGTAAGCTTCAAATCTTTATATAAAAAGAAAACATTACAGAAAATTAACTTCTTATATATTATATTTTCTCTAAATTTCTAAAAAAAGTCAAATTTTAATAAAAAAATTTACAAAATGCGTTTCTTAATTCGACTAACAGGTATCGGTTTTTTATTCAAAATTTACATACATTCTGTTTAACTCTATAAACAACAGATTCTTTATTCATTCAAAACTTACATACATCCTATTTAACTCTATAGATAACAGATTCTTTATCCGGCTGGAAGACAAAAAATTTTATATCTTGGCATGCCTACGTTTACGTTAATATTCCACCACGATTTATATTTTTCTTTTTATTTTGCTTTTTATTTTTTAAAGCTTTTTGTTTTTTTATATTGGTTTGCTTGATCAAGTACTACTCGAAAAATATTTTATATCTTAGCATGTAAGCTACGCCTACGTTAATATTTCACCACAATTTATATTTTTCTTTTTATTTTGCTTTTTATTTTTTAAAGCTTTTTTTGTTTTTTATATTGGTTTGCTCGATCAAGTACTACTCGAAAATATTTTATATCTTAACATGTAAGCTACACCTACGTTAATATTTCACCACAATTTATTTTTTTCTTTTTATTTTGCTTTTTATTTTTTTATTTTGCTTTTTATTTTAAAAGCTTTTGTTTTGGTTTTTTATATTAGTTTCTTAGCAAAAGTGCTACTCGTAAATACCCTTTCACTCACTCCAATTTTTTTTTATATATCGTCGGCAAAACTGTGATACCACGTAACTAACAATTTTTTCAAAATTTACTTTTTTGCATTTTTGGAAAGCTTACGTTAAAATACATTGAAAAAAATTAGCTCTAACAAAAATTTAAAAATATAAATATCCTTAAATCGATATTTGTGCCACCTCGTATCTTAGAGTGCAAACAAAAATGACATGTGCTGCCACGTATCTTACTTGCGTGGTTGCACCGTTTCAGTTTTGAAACAAATGGGAAATGAAAAAAGGGATTTTCCCCAAATACGTGTTTACACAATAAATCGTGGTAGCTCTTGCAAATATTAAAGAAATTTGAACCTGTAAGTTGTTAAAAACTCAAATTAATAATTTTAAATTAATCTCAAGTAAAATATGGAAGATAATAATGGATTGGAATCTCTTTATGCTGAATTATTTGGTTATGAAAGTGATCAAATAGAAATAATTGAAAACACAGTAGAAACTATTGATTTGGATAATTATATTGTGAGTTCAAATAACATGAACATCAAGTTAGAACCAAACGAGGGTAAGGTTTTTTTTAACAGTGAAATCATTCAAATTAAATTTAAAATGGATCAACTTTAATGTAGGAGTTATTGAAGTGAACAACAGAAGCAATACACCATCTAATAATGACATGCCAATAAATAGAAATTCACCAGATATATTTGAAGGAAATATTGATGAAAATATAACCGATGGAAATATAACGTGCGTCCAAACTGTAAACAACAACAACAACAATTCTATATTAAAAACTAAAGCACAAAGAAAATGTTTCGGCAAAAATGCTACTTTTTCCAAAAATAAAAAACTTCAAAAAAATCTGTTATCTGAAAATGATCGCACCAATAAAGAACTTCGAGAACATGGAGAAAACTATAAAGGCTGGAGTATGAAGAAACGTGGCAAAATGCGTAGTAGTAAAATCTTAGGACCACATCTCAAAAATGTGCGGCCTCCAAAAAATTTAAATGTAACCAGATAACCGAAGAGCAAAGAAAAACGCTTCATCATGAATTTTGGTCGAGTATGTCATGGGACCAGAAGAAAGTGTATGTGTCATCTTTAGTGAAACAACTGAATGTTGATAGAAAAGTAGTTGAAAACAGTCGACGTTTGTTTTCTTTTCAGTATGGATTAAAAATCGACAATAATGAAATTCTTCCTGTTTGCAAAAAAATGTTTCTGTCAACTCTTTCTTTGGGTGAGTGGGCTGTGCGTAATTGGGTAAAAAGTTCTACTAAAGGAATCAAAATATTGTAACTGAAACTCGTAGGCAAAAGAAAAAGGGATATTCTAAAAAAAACAGTTTTTATCAGATTTTCTTGATACTTTACCTACATTACCGTCGCACTATTGTAGGAAAAGTTCAACAAAAAAATATTTGGAACCAACTTTTGGAAACCAGAAAACCGATTTGTACCAAGAATATAAAAATCGTTCTAATAATGACATCACTTATAAACATGAAGCTTTATCTGCTACAATATTTAACAAAATGGTAAAGGAGAAAAATCTCTCTTTCCTGAAACCAAAGAAAGACATGTGCGATACATGCATCAGCTATGATACTAAACATATTGGAAAACCAGAGTTTGAAGATCATATAAATAAAAAAGACAGAGCTAGATATGTGTTGATGTGCAAGCGGTAAAATTGACTCCTATGCTTACAGCTTCTGCATTATATTACAGAACAAAATTGTGCTGCCATAACTACACGGTGTATGACTGGTTTGACGAAACGGATGCTGATCTTTCATCTAATACATTTGCCTCGTGTTTGATAAGTTATCTTACAGAAAACTGTTTGGGGGCTGAAAAAGTTATAATTTGGTCCGACAATTGCCCTTATCAAAATAAAAACAAAAATCTCTCTAACGCTCTACTGCACTTCGCTCTTGAAAATAATATTACAATATACCAGAAATTTCTACAGAAGAGTCATACTCAAATGGAAGTTGACTCTGTTCATTCAACTATAGAACAAAAGCTAAAAAATAAATCGATTTATGTACCCAATGACTATTGTGAATATACAAAAGCTGCAAGAAAAATTAATCCTTATAATGTAACAAGAATTTCATACGATTTTTGTCGAAATTTCACCAACAACAAAATATATGATGACATTAGACCACCCCGAAGCTTAAATGCAAAAGTTAATGATATAAAAGCAATTAAATATGATCAGAATGGAATTCAAATAAAATTAGATTTTGATAATAAATGGACTGATTTGCCCAAAAAGCGTGGAATGACCCTCAAAGCAACCAGAATAACAAACTTTGAGCAACTTCACACAAAAAGAATAAAAATTACTGATACTAAATGGACTCATTTACAGGAGTTGAAATGTGTAATACCCAAAGATTACCACTTATTTTACGACACTTTGCCACATTGATTTTTCATTTTAATAATTTAATGTATCTACTTATCTCGTAACAATATTATTGTTATATAACAGCAATTTGGTTTAATAAAATGAATTAATATTATAACTAAAGTAAACTATTTGAATTAAATCATTTCAAAGTTTTGTTTCTTCTTCTTATGTTAAAATAATGTGTAAACACTTATCTGCGTATAAGATGCGAAAAAATAATAAGGTGCAAACTCGTAAGTACAATTTCGAAAGATAAAATCGAAATAACAGTAAATTTCAATTTAATGCAGAACAAGTATAACATTTAAAGAAATTTAATTAAATTATAGTAAAATTTTACCTTAATTTACGTATTTTATTAAGTTTTTTGTGTCTCCTTAACAATTTGTGAATTCGTACTTACGTGGTATCACAGTTTTGCCGACGATATTTTACTACGGAGAAGTACTACTATACTACTCATATCATTGAAGAAAGTATAACAATTGAAGATCAATTGTTATTAGATATTGACAGTACAAATGTTTTTACTCAAAATACAAGTTCCTCTAAAGTTCAAAATAACAATCCTGTTAATGTCGATGAGAACAATGAACTCTGTAATATTGAAGCCGATAATTTCCCTCAAAATGACGGCAATAGAAATGCTATAAATTTTAAAGAAACCGTAAATCTTAATGAGAATGTAAAACGATTTGATTACAATCCAAACAATAACTTACAATTTGATAACTCGAAAAATCATGGAAATATGTGCAACGAAATTGAAAATATTTCAAGAACTCGCAGAAACAAATCAGACAAATTTAACTTGCGTGACAATAAAAACAAATGGTTATGAGAGCTTGGGAAATCGTATAGTGGCTGGACTAGACCAACAGGATCTAAAGGTCTAAGAGGTACTCAAAGAAGTGACAGAGAATTATGACCACCTTGCACCTCAAATGCATGCAAGAAAAGTGTTGCCCGACGTTGTGATATTTTTCCAAATCATCTTCGTACAAAACTTTTCAATAACTTTTGGGAGTATATGTCATGGGACCAAAAAAATATCTATGTTACATCTCTCATAAAAATTATTCTAATCAATAGAACAACCGTTTCACATTCGCAAAGAAAATTAGCAAAAGAATATTTTGTGCCCGATGAAAGTGGTAATAAAGTTCAAGTCTGCCAAAAATTTTTTCTCAATACCTTTGGGTTAAAAGAAACTATGATTCGACACTGGGTTTTACAAGCAGAAAATGGAATCGTTACGTCACTGGAAGTATGTAAAAATAGGAAAAAATTAAAACAAAATATTGAAAAATGTAAATCTGAGAATGAATTGCAGAAAGAATGTCTCGTAAAATTTTTAGATAGTCTGCCTAAACTTCCGTCACACTATTGTAGAAAAAGTTCTACCAAAATTTATGTTTAGCCGGGGTTTGGTTTAAATAATTTTTCGTCGATTTATAAGGAATATAAAAAGTGGTGTGAGGAACACTCTGAACACAAACCTCTACCGAATTTCCTGTTTTCAAAAAAGAAACTCAAACCTTTAGAAGATCATATCAAAATCGGAAGTAATGGCTGATAAAAAAACGCCACGAAAGAAGAGAGGACGCACTCCCGCACCAGAATCCCCTCCAGCAGACAAAAAGCGAACAAGATCTCGTTGACAATCCAAAACTGAAGCATCAACTACCAGTTTTTTAACACAGAAAGTATTAACTTTCGCAAAATCCGAACTTGATAAACAGAAGAACTGGGAAGCTTTTGGCTCCGTTACATTCTGGAATCGAAAAATCAATAGAAAATCTTAAAAAACTGATGGAGAAGGACGAAGAAATAATCAATCCATTCCACTCAATAGATCTGGAACTTGATGATGACTATGAAGAAGAGTTGGTTCTTAAACAAACAGGAGAAAGCAAAGAAAAGACAGATATAGAGCAGGTTTGGAGCACGAAAGGCTCGTCATACTTATTAGATGATACGAATAATATAGAGAAGTTAGGCACAGAGCATTGTATTGCAGCTAAAATCTTAGCTAGAGAAAGAGAACCAACACTACCAGGGCCTTCTTCAATTCAAGGTAAGCAGGCCCTGATCCCCAAGAGTTGTATCCCTAGAGGATGCAGTATCTCAGACGATAATTGGGGCAGAATAGTAGAAGGAGTAGCTAAGCTCCTCTCCTTAGCATTTGACGGCACTCTAAGTTACTCCACCATGGAAAACACCACCCACGGAATATATTTTGAAAGCTTTATGAGTTCAAGCAAAACTGAGAGCTCTGCTAAAAGTACCCAGAGAGTAGACAAAGAAGTGGACGAAGTAGATTTTGAGACAGAATTGATCAAGGAGAAATTGAATGAACTGGAAAAGATAATATCAGAGGGTGTCATTTTCAAGAATAAAATATATGGTGATCTCAAAAAGTTTAGTTCGGCCCCCCTTAAATTGACAACTGTTAGGTAGATAAAAATTATTCAACAAAACCTGAACAGCGATCCAGAATCCATTCTTTTAGGATGGATGACCACATCAAAAGAAGGAAAAATATTCTTAAGAACTTTAAATTAACAAATATTGTGAAAGAAAAAAACATTGGCTTTCAACTACCAAAAATAGATCAATGTAATGAATGTTGCAGCTACAAAGTAGGAAATCTGGCAGAAATTTAAACGGACATATTAAGGGAAAAAATAAAGCTCGTAAAGAAAAAGATCGTGACAAAGAACGGGCAGCAAAAGGTGAATGTGTAGTGTTAACTCAAGATGTCCAAGCTGTAAAAATTTATCCTATGCTTAATGCTTCTGCTTTGTACTACAAAACCAAGCTTTGTTGTCAAAATTTTACCGTATATAATATTACATACCATCATTCGAAAGGCTTTTGGTTTTCGGATATTGAAGCAGTCTTAAATGCCTCCACTTTTGCTTCATGTATCATAAATTACTTAGAAAATTCTTTCCAAGAAGACATGTCCATTATAATATGGAAGGACGAATGTGGCTACCAAAACAAAATTTCTACTTTTTCAAACGCTTTACTGAGCTTACTAGAGCAGAAGTTTTTGGCGAAAGGACACACACAAACGGAGGCAGACTCCGTCCATCCTACAATAGAGAGATGTCTCAAAAATAAGCCAATCTATGTGCCAAATAATTATTGCGAACAAACTCTTTTAGCAAGAATTCATCCATTTCCCTACAACGTAACAAGAGTAGCTTTTGACTTTGTTAAAAATTACGATGAAAATTCAGCATATCCGTCAATTCGACCTGGTCGAAAAGTTGGTGCCCCTAAAGTTAACGATATCCGCGTACTTAAATATACGCCGGTCATATTTAGTATAAGCTTAATTTTGATGACGATTTTGTTCATTTACCAATTAAGAAGAAAAAAACAATAAAAATTAATAAACTTGCAGATTTTAAGCAAAGCCACGATGCTCCAATCAAAATTAAACATAGTAAATCGACAACTAAAAAGTGTAATACCTCTGGACTATCATTCCTTTTAGGCCAACATTCCTCATTTGGATAAGGATAACCAAATATTTTTTTTGTTTAGTTTTTCCTAACATATTTTATTAGTTAAATTTGTTTAATT